GTTTTCAGAAACGTATGGATGAGAAAAATGATTGCCATTTACTAAAATAGACACTTGTACAATTATGCCGGAGCTATTTATTAACATTTTTAAGCTTTTATTTTTCGATTGTAAAAGTTGTAATTTATTGATCCATGCTTGAGACAGTCACACCATAGGACAATTTTGACACTTGGCCAAAAAAAACAAACAAAAAAAACTCTGCAGCTTTTATAACAACAGGTCCATGTAGGACAAATAAATCTTTAAAGGGGTCATATGATGCGGCTAAAAAGAACATTATTTTGCGTATTTGGTGTAATGAAATGTGTTTATGCGGTTTAAGGTTCAAAAAACACATTTTCCACATACTGTACATTATTGTTTCTCCTCTATGCCCCGCCTTTCTGAAAACGCATAGATTTTTACAAAGCTCATCGGTCTGAAAAGCGAGGTGTGCTCTGATTGGCCAGCTATCCAGTGCGTTGTGATTGGCCGAATACCTCAAGCGTGTGATGGAAATGTTATCATATTGTGATGCCGTGTCCCGGCCGGAGCGACGAGACAAAAATATTAATACCCATTATAAACTAGGCATTTGTTGCATCCAGTGGGGACATAATTACTGATTATAATGACTTATACTGTCTTTTTACGTGTTGCATCGCGCCGCGTAAACATAAAACCATGTCTGCATTTGTGATCGGAGAAATTACAAACAACAAGTGCTACTCTACACTGCTCAAACCTCGCGTTTGAATCATCAGTGGCAAATCCTTTAAATATGAAAACATACTAACCGTCAGTGAGTCAGAACAGCCGGCATTGTAGTCTACTCTACCAGGATCAGGATCAGTCCTCCATAAAATGCGCTGCACACATCTGAATATTTGGGTTGAACTGTTCTGGAACAGTGTTGTAAATACAACTTAACCACTGATTACTAGTCGTGTCCTCTTTTGAAAGGCCAAACAAAGTATTTTCGCTTTCACAACGAAACACACAGCGTCACACATGGCAGGGTAGAGTGAGCGGCGGCGGGCTAGAGTGAGGAATGGCCGGAGGGCTTGAGAACGGTGCGGCCGGCGGGCTTGCGGCAACCACATGTGACGACCCCGGGCTGGACTCGGCTTCGTCCACGGTGAAAGCCGATCCAGCAATCCACAGCGAGAAGTTGATGTATTTCCTCAGCGAACAGCACGGATCAGCTCTAGGCATGGACGATATCCGCTTCATCTCTTTTGGAAGGCCAAACAAAGTAGTTTCGCTTTCACAACGAAACACACAACGTCTTCACGACATGGCAGTGGCAACAACAATACTACAGCGAGAATAAAAGTTACGCCTTCTTTCTTTGCATGAACATTTGGGCGGCATTATGCAAATCTTCCCAAATCGTGACGTAGACATGTGGGGGCATGTTAGAATGAGCTGTTTTAGGTAGGCGTGGTTAACTTTTATAAAGAATATCACTTTGGATTTGAGACTTCAGTCTTTGCAACTTTACAGATCTTCTTTATGCACCAAGAGCTTGTAGCACTCCAAAGAGAAAGGAAAAATTGAAATCGCATCATATGACCCCTTTAACCATTTACTGCATTTTAAATAACAATATTAATTATATTCATTTTAATCTTGTGGGACAGTGAAAATGCCATGTCACGTCAACAACCCATGTAAAGTGGTGTAGAAGCTAATTGCATCCCAGAAAAATGAAGTCAGACAGGTTTCTCTCAAGGGAACAAAATATATGCATAAGCATGAAGGAAAAATAAAAAATGATAATAAATACAGTGGGTACGGAAAGTATTCAGACCCCCTTACATTTTTCACTCTTTGTTATATTGCAGCCATTTGCTAAAATCATTTAAGTTAATTTTTTTTCCTCATTAATGTACACACAGCGCCCCATATTGACAGAAAAACACATGGGAATTGGGATGACCTGGACCTGATCACACTGAGAAACAAAACCAGATTGAAAGAGAGAAAAAAAAATAGAAAGAAAGAAAACAAAACGGAGGGAAAAGAATCATCAAAAAGAAAAAAACCCAAGCACAACAAACATGACACTGTGAAAGCATACATCGCAACAGAGACTACGAACAGTTGTACATTATTATTACATATCTGACTAACACACAGACAGACATGCTGACAAAAATCACATCCTTGTTCACTGCGTAATCCTGCCAGGATTATCTCTGTAAGGGTTGCAAAACACATAGGGCTCGCTTTAAAGGGGTCATATGATGCTGCTAAAAAGAACATTATTTTGTGTATTTGGTGTAATGAAATGTGTTTATGCGGTTTAAGGTAAAAAAAAACACATTATTTTCCACATACTGTACATTATTGTTTCTCCTCTATGCCCCGTCTTTCTGAAACGCGTTGATTTTTACAAAGCTCATCGTTCTGAAAAGCGAAGGTGTGCTCTGATTGGCCAGTTATCTAGTGTGTTGTGATTGGCCGAATACCTCAAGCGTGTGATGGAAATGTTACGTCCCTTAACATACTGTGATGCCCTGTCCGGCAGGAGCGACAAGACAAAAACATTAAAACCCATTATAAACGAGGCATTTGTTGCATCCAGTGGGGACATAATTACGGATTATAATGACTTATACTGTCTTTTTACGCGTTGCATCGCGCCGCATAGATATAAAACCATGTCTGCATTTGTGATCGGAGAAATTACAAACTACAAGTGCTACTCTACACTGTCCAAAAAACTCACGTTTGAATCGTCAGTGGCAAATTCTTTAAATATAAAAAAAAAACTTACTTACAGTCTGTGAGTCAGAACAGCCGGCATTGTAGTTCTACTCTACCAGGATCAGGGAACAGTTCTCCATAAAATGCGCTGCACACATCTGAATATTTGGGTTAAACTGTTCTGGAACAGTGTTGTAAATACAACTTAACCACTGATTTCTAGTCGTGTCCTCTTTTGGAAGGCCAAACAAAGTAGTTTCGCTTTCACAACGAAACAGCGTCACACACCGCCTTGAGTGAGCGGAGGCCGGAGGCCTAGAGTGAGCGGCGGCCTAGAGTATGCGGAGGCTGGCTAGTGAGCGGAGGCGGGCGGGCGGGCTTGAGAACGGCGCGGCTGGCAGATTCCATGAAGGAGCGTCCGGCGGGCTTGCGGCAACCACATGTGATGCGATCTGATTCAGATCCATTTATAGCTGCCTGTACCTGCTTTGGCAGCACACATGAGTGTTTGTGGAGCGCTGTGGCTTAAAGTTTCGCCACCGACAGTGAGGTCATTTCACACGGTACACTGCCCAGCGTTTGTGTGTGTGTTTGAATGTGTGCGAGAGACAGAAAGATAAAGAACAAGAAAGAGAGTGAAAACACACTAAAAAATAGGCACAAGATACTAAATGCACTGAAATAACTCTAGAACACAAGTATTTACTGCAAAGTGCACTCTGTAATTTTTATATAAATATTGTGGCAGTCTTTTTGGTAAACAAGACGTATTGTGTAAAAACAATTGTCCGATAAAAGGGGTTTAAGCAAGCTGTATTCAGCTTGTCATGTGATGTCAACATGGCGGCCCCCATGAGGTGGTCTGCTCCATGTAAAATAAAACAGCTTTTATTAGGCTACTGATGGACTGGAGTCTTTGTGATGAGTGTGCAAAACAAAACAAAACAAAAAATTAAATAAAACAAGAAAAATTAAAAAGGTAACTGCGAGTTTTTAATCTCACAATTCTGAATTGTGAGAAACTCTCAATTGCAAGTCCAATTCTGAGTGGAAAAAAAAAAGACCGATATGTTCTCAAAATTGCAAGTTGTATCTTACAATTCAGACTTAACTCGCAATTACGCGTTTTAAAGTCAGAATTGCGAGATAGAAACTTGCCATTCTGATTAAAAAGGCAGAACTGTGAGTTTATATCTTGCAATTCTGACTTCATAACTCGCAATCACATGTTATTAAGTCAGAATTGTGAGATATAAACTCAAGATAACATAAAATGTCCCTTTATTTATTGTAAAAGAACTGTCACACAGGGATCAAGTACATGACTTGTTTGTACCATCCCAGCGTAAAGTTTTATTGGCCAAATGTTGCCAAATGTTTTCGAGTTCTTGGTTGTGTTTCCTTCAAGTATCAATTTTGACTCAGTTGTTTCTTCTAAAATTACTTAGGAAAAATAAAAGCAGAAATAAGCATGTTAAAATTAATTAGCTCAGATTTTTTCTTGCAAGAATTTGATGAGAAATCACAGACTGTTGACTGCAGTCAGGCTTGGCTAGTCTCAGTTGAATTTGAGATTTTTTCTCAGGAGAACAATCTGAAAATCAGGAGCAAATGTCTCAATTTGATTTTGCTCCCTAGGAGAAACTACTAATATATTCAAAATATCTAATTTGTGCTTTTTACTTTTCAACATGCTGACCTGTTTTGCATAATTACTTTATTAGCCCAAAACAGCATAGATGACATGCAAATAAACAAGACAATGAGCAGGCGCAATGCATTCTAAGTGTAAGTGTATTCCCCCTTATGTGTACATAGCCAATGGCAGAAAGAGAGAAAGAAAAAGAAAAGGAAGGAGGGGAAGGAACACACTGGGCAGCAAGTAATCAATCACACAAGACACATACTTTATTGGAATTAAAGAAGCAGTTCAGGAATGTGAGAGAGAGAAAGTGTGTGTATGTGGGTGGGTGGAAATTGAAGAATGTGTGTGAGGGGAAGCGGGCCCATCATTTCTAGAACTGGATGGTAAACATCACGGCGGGTTCACCGAGTTCGGAACAGCAGGAAAACTTTGCGGTGTGGACACAGGAACAGCGCGCACAGAGCCTGCATTTGGGCACAGCTCGCAAAAAAGAAAAAAACCTCAGCTAAACCGAGAGTTTGCTAATAAACAGACTTTATTCTGAGCTGGAACAACATTAGCAATTCAAACGCAGTAACTTAAACTCTCCAATTTCATGCATCCATTGCTGAAGATTTTCACGCCGTTATAACTGTCGTTAGAGAAATAAATGAGGCCTCACCTTTGGAGGGCTGCTGTTCTCCTCGGCAGGTGGAGGGAGGGAGCAGGTCTTGTTGTTGGTGGCTGGTGGTTCCGCATTATAGTCCCGGAAACAGCAGAAGAAGGGACTAAAGATACTTCTGTTCCTGTGTTTCTTTAAACTGCTGTTGGACTGGGAGACTGTGACAGAGAAAAACACACACACACCACACGCTGGTCACTGCAATGCACAAACTGTTCAAAACATCTGGGGCTTTACCTTCCCTGCCCTGTAACTTAAAACCCGTCGTCCTCACATACAGCGCACATTCACGAAGGAGGTCGTAACGAGTGAAAAAACAACAGTCTGTCAGAGTTTGCTTATTGGTTACTGTGCACAGCTCACATAACCAAAAAAGTGTGCAAACAGCTCCTTTTGTCTATTATGGTACACAGAACGCGTCTCCACGGGTGACTCTGTCACCTTTGCCCCCTACGCTTGCACGCCTGCTGTTCTGTGACAACAGCAAGTCATCGTGCACAGCAATATGTCTCAAGTATAGTCACACAACCTGCTTTAAAAGCCCTCTATTGGGAAAAAATGCAAATCAGACACTGTACATGCTAAATGTGAGGAAGACATGTTTAAGCTGATAGACGGTGGGTCTAAAATTGAGTGTAATTGTGCATGAAAATATGCATGATGTCAAGAGTCACAGTAAAATAAATGAAATGAAATAGTGCATTTTATTGTAAAAGAACAGTCTGCATAATCCCAAGGTTTGTGCAATCCCAAAATAAAGGAAGAGCCTTTTCCACCAAAACAAAACAAAGCAAAGCAAAACAAATTCCCTCTTTATTGTAAAAGTCATCAGACAATGTTTGCACAATCCCAGAATAAAGGAATAGCCCTTTTCAAATAAAACAAAACATAACAAATGTTTACATGATCTCAAAACAAAACACGCAACAAAAATCAAAACAGAAGCTTTCCTTTTAAAGTAAGTCAAAAAAGTCACACAAGGTTTGCACAATCCAAAAATAAAAGGAAGAACCTTTTTCAAATAAAACAAAACAAATTCTAAAGACGTAACAAAGCAAAACAAACAAAACAACAAAAAACTAAAATTATTTCCTCTTTATTGTAAAAGGACAGTCACAGAAGGTTTACATGATCCCAAAACAAAAACAAAAAACTCTAAACAAAACTCACAACAGATCAAAAATCAAAACAACAGCTTTCCTTTTAAAGTAAAAGTCACACAGGGTTTGCACAATCAAAAAATAAAAGGAAGAGCCTTTTTCAAATAATTTTTTAAAATATAAATATAGTTTAAAAAACAATTTTTAAAAAATCAAACAAAGCAAAACAACAAAATAAAAAAATATTATGGCATCTTTATTTTAAAAGAACAGTCACAGAAGGTTTACATGATCTCAAAACAAAACAAAAAACAAAACTCACAACAGATCAAAACAGCAGCTTTCCTTTTAAAGTAATCCATCTGTCCATCTCACAATAACATTCTGGTTATGTGCACATATGTGCATGATATTTTGGCCAGTAACAGCAGGAACTACACAAACCGTACTACGAAAAGAAATACTGAATATTTGCAAAGCTACATCACTTGGTTGCACTCCAGTTGATTGCTGTGTAATAAACAGAAAGACTGGATGACAAAAACTGGCTCTCCCATAGGTGATCTAATGAGGCATGCAGGTCAGGTATTGTTATTGAACGAACAGGTCGCTCTTGACAGCAGCAGATGTTTGGCAAAATAGAGGGGGGGTAAGCAAAACATTTGGAAAATGTATTTTCTATTAAATTGAGTAACAAAAGGCTCAAACACTGATGAATGAGAAGTCGGTCTAGATGCGTCGTTCTAGTCATACTGCTATCTTGTGACCTGCTGTGTGTTCAAGTGGCACAGTACAGATAGGGTTTCATGCAATCCAGGTCAGTCGTGAGGGCCAAGTGCTCTCATTGTTGCAGTAATGCCTGTTGTTACTGCAACTTAAAGTGCTAACAATCAACCAATTATACACTTTCAATAAATCAAGAACTACTACAGTGCAGTACAATCTTCTAGCAGGAAAACCTGGCTAGTTTAGCCTATTATTTGTTAATATATTTGTTAAAGGGGTCATATGATGCTTTTTTAAAGATCATTATTTTGTGTATTTGGTGTAACAGAATATGTTGACAAAAATGTTCAAAAAACACATTATTTTTCAAATACTGTACATTATTGTAGGTCCTCTATGCCCCGCCTCTCTCAAACGCTTCGTTTTCTACAAAGTCCCTCCTTCCGACAAGCGCAGTCTGCTCTGATTGGCCAGCTGACCCAGTCCATTGTGATTGGCCGAACACCGCAAGCACTCGTCGGAAATGTAATGCCCCTTACCATAATCGCGAGCTTCATCTTTCAAAATAAATGTAAAGACAGAGCCCGAAAGGGGAACAGAGTCTCCGGTGTATACAGTACGCTTATTATAAAAGACAAAAATATATTTATTGAGATATTTATAGGCATGATTCGGTGAAAGACATATTTATAAAAGAAAAAAAAGAAAAAAGAAAATAAAATGTATTATTCCTGTTTATTTGAAATGCATCAACACAAGATAGAAGAGCTTGTAAAAGCATTAAGGATTTTTTTTGTGTGTATTAAAAGTATTATGCATATAATTTTACTCAATACTATACTCATGCGCTTATAACCTGAGCCATGTAACAGTTGATGTCTATGGAGGACCAAACCTGCAGAAATAATAAATAAATAAATAAATAAATAAATAAATAACAGGAAAATAAAGAAATAAATGACTTAATAAAAACAAATATAGTTTATTTGTAATAAAATTTAATCCTGAATTTATTTTTATTACCTTTTTCCTATATGTATTATTTTCTGTATTTATTTTTACATTTATTTTTTATTCTTTTTCAGTTTTATTTACTTATCTTATCATTTATTTGTATATTTATTTATTTATCTATTTATCTATTTTAAATGTATTTATTCATGCGTTTATTTATTTTTATATTTATTTATTCCCACATATATTTATTTCCAGATTTATTTATTCATTTATTTATTTTTACTTTTCCGTGTGCAGCATGGAAATGAGGGAGGCGGTCCTTGCGGAGCATCGGTGAAAAAAATAAATACATAATATAATACATAAAGGAAAAAGTAATAAAAATAATAATTCTGGGTTAAATTTGATTACAAATTAATTATATTTGTTTTTATCAAGTAATTTATTCCTTTATTTATTTTCCTGTCATTTTATTTATTTATTTATCTATCTATCTATTTATTTATTTATTATTTCTGCAGGTTTGGTCCTCCATAGATGTCAAGACATTTTAAATAGACTTTCTCCCTATTTATCAAATTTTATAATTATAAAATGTGACCCTGGACCACAAAACCAGTCATAAGTATCACGGGTATAGTCAAAAATACATTGTATGGGTCAAAATGATCGATTTTTCTTTTATGTCAAAAATCATTAGGATATTAAGTAAAGATCATGTTCCATGAAGATATTTTGTTCATTTCATACCGCAAATATATCAAAACGTAATTTTTGATTGGTAATATGCATTGCTAAGCACTTCATTTGGACAACTTTAAAGGCAATTTTATCAATATTTTTTGCACCCTCAGATTCCAGATTTTCAAATAGTTGTACCTCGGCCAAATCAGATGATGTACAGGGAGCCGCAATTATACCTGGCATTGAAACTGTGCTTTTGAATGCACTTTTGATTCGCTTTTTAGTTTCACTTTCAAGATTTGCGATCACACGTACTCTGTTTATACTATGGAGCAGCAGTACTTACCACACATTTTACAAGATTAGATGTTTGTCAGTGGTGCTGAGGATCTGCAAACCATTCACCATCATCCTCACTCATCTCTCCTTACTCTGTTTATGTGGTAAGTGAAATTTTAAGTACTGTAATGTAACCGGCAACGTTACACCCCCTAACTCCAATGCCCCCCACCCCAAATTTATAAAAAAACAGACACACAAGCAGTAAGTGTCTTTAAACACACTGTAATGTACTTGTGTGAAACTAATTTGAGGGGCATCTCCAAAGACACTACAAAGATAGAGACAGAGGCATTAGACCCTCTGATTTTCTAACTATAATTACCTGTCAGTTGACAAGCTGGGCTCTGAGGCATAATGAGATGTAAACGAACCGAACGACCTTCCACACAGAAACGCTAGTCAGAGGGTGATTTAATAGAGTATTTTAAAACATAATTGTACTGTTGTCCAAAGTTCTCAGGCTTATTATAATGAGTAACTAAGTCTACCGAGGATACACAGTCTGTCATAACACACGGTACGATCCAACCTCTGTGCTCACATTCCCAAAACACCATTCCTGTGCGATCCCTCCCTCCCGGGCCTCCATTTTGAGGCCGTTGGTATTTTCCAGCCTTGATCCGTCTGCCCTGCACGGCAGTCTAATAACATGCAGGTGGGAAGGACGCCAGAGGGAGAGATAGAAAGAGGGGGGCAAACAGGAGGTGGGCCACTGTAATGAAGCCTGTACCAGCCCCCTGAACAACCATCCATCCAAAACAAACAGGGTTTTCTCCACACACACACATACAAACATACCCATCTAAAAACATTCTCTGGCTGACCACAGGAATGTGGCTGGAGTCAGTTTGCATGGCGGTGCCATCCCTGCTACAGTGTGAAGAAGTGTTGGTTATTCTATTTAAATTCAACCTAACTCCACAAACTGTAGTTAACAGATGTCTGTATTCATGAATGCAAGCATTTGTCTAACAAAGTAGAGATTAGGGCAGCAAGATTAATCAACATAAAACTGAAATTGTGCTAAGGCTTAGCGTGATTATCAAATTACAAAAACTGCAATTTGATTAAATACATGAGCTGCATACTTCAGAGTGAAGCGTAGCAGTGTGTTTTTTTACAAACTAAAAGTTTTCAGCAGCTCAGAGCATCTGGTTCACAACCTCTGGAACACAACATGTGCCAACCATCTTCACAAACTTGTAATGAGAAACGCTTATTAACTGCCTGTTGTCAACAAAAGAGAAAATCTTCTTGAGTTGTTGGTTTGCTTGTTTTTTGGCAGAATAAAACTTGATAGTTTAATGCTTCAAAGTGAAAACATTAAAGGGATAGTTCACCCAAAAACG